ATTATTATTATTTTTAAGTTTGGGGGTTCATATTTGCTTGTGTTTTCCTATGTTTTTATCAGAAAAAAATTGATTTTCGTGTTTTTTCTCTGCATGAAACACACCATGTGAAAGTACAATTGTGGTTTATAATGAAGCACATAAACTGTGTTTTTTCCAAGAAATGGATACCAGAGTTGTGCACTTTATAGTGTGTTAAGCACAAAGTTTGCTTTCCGAAAAGTGAAAAGTACAGTTGTTCTTCGCGTGAAGCACAAACTATGTTTTTCAAAAAGTTAACAACACAGTTTTGCTTCCGCGTCAAGCACATACATTACTTTGCACGATTGTTCACCATATGAAGCATAGTTCTGCTTCCGTCTGAAGTATAAATTATACTTTCCGAAAAGTGAAAGGTACATTTGTACACCACGTGAAGCATAATTATGCCTATGAGTGAAAAAACTATGCCTTCTAAAAAAGAGTGGAGTGCAATATGTGCTTCCATGTGGAGCATATCGATTTTCATTTTTTTTGATTTTTTTATGGTTTCATGTGCTTTTCGGTTTTTAGTTCTTTTAGTTTCTTGGTTTCTTTTTATCAGTTTTTCTTGTTTTCCTGGTATTGTTGGAGAAAAGAAATTCATCCAAACCTGTTAACATTGGGTCTAGTTTTGAATACTTCGATGATAACACAATGATGAAAATGGTTCAGATTTGGACGCACGGTTCAAGAGATAAACTGTTTTGGAAAAAAATACTAGAAAAAACAAAAAACTCTTTGGCTGTGACAAGTGTTACACATGCAGTGCGTCATTTCTCAACACCGGAGAACGTGAGAGTGGCTTTGCAAGAAGTACCCCTTAACTAATTATTTCACAATTACATATAATTGCAGATAGATAGAGGCATAGAGCCAAGCTGATGGGGGACAAGGTTATGGTAAGAGCATCTACAACCACATATAGCTATTTTGAATTGCCAAACGTCCGTGGATGCGGCCGGGCTCATGGTCACCGTTCGTACCTCATATTTGGCCTCCCACAACCATACTACTCATTTCATGATTAACATTCTCATACAAAAGGATGCAACGAAATGATCTACATACGAACTACACTACTCGTCCTCCTTGTCGGAGATGAACTTCGTGCCAAAGTCGCCGTTCTCATGGTTATTGGCGGTCGAGCGACATGGTGGTGCCTCCTCATCCTCCTCATCGAGCTCCGCGTCCTCTTGGCAGAGGATGTGGCGGTTCGGCTCAACCTCCGCCTCTGACTGGATGGAGTCGAGAATGGCATGTTGCTCCACTGCCTTCTCCGCTTGGACCACCCCGAACTCCTCCATCGCGTCCGCCATGGCGAAGCCCGTACCGGAGGCGCCGGATTAGCCTTGCATTGGCCTCTTCCTTCTTCGTATTTGCATCCTCCTCCACCTCCTCCTCCTGATCCTCCTCACCCGACTCTGGCTACGGCGAATTGGAGGCAGGCCGGCTGGGATCCGGGCTTCACATCTAGCCCGAATCCGCTCAAGGATCTCGAGTCGCCGCTCCAGCGTGAGCATGGTGATTTGGAACCTCAGCATGGCTACCGGCGGGCGGATTAGAATGTGGCGGCAGCGTAGGGGAGGGAGAGTGAAGAAATGGGGACTGGCTACGGTTGGGTTGCCGCCGTCCAACTTAAGTAGCCAGACTTGGTCCCTCGAGTGGCACGCCGGAGCGACGCGACGCGTCACGATGAATACCCTCACCGAAAAACAGAGAAGGCGCCTGTCGGACTAATGTGATGTTGGATATGGGGATTACCGGTCAATCCGGATGTTTGGGCCGAGTTTGCCCAATTCGGTTGAGTGGCAAAATCATGACCAAATAAGATTGGGTCATGACCTAGGCGTTTTAGGTGGATAATATGGGGCATCCGGTTATAGGATGTTGCCGTCTGCGTCTATGCACATGAATCAAAAGCTTCGGATCTTCGATTCAGAAAGTGGAGTGAACTGATTCGAATTTGTATTTGTCACACGGTACCGCCTTCGTTTCATTTTTACTCTCCATATTAGGTTTATCAGTCAGAAGTCAAACTCTTTGAAGTTTGACCTAATTTATTCACAAAATTATTAACATTCATAATACAACATCAACATCACTTATATTCATTGTGAGACATATTTTCATATTTACTTGGCATTGTAGATGTTGATATTTTTTTAATGGACTGTGCTAACGTCACGCATTATCCCGCGATCCACTTCTCACGTCCCGTCGCTATCTCCGATTTTTCTGGCGCACAACGATCCCACCACTTCTCCCGCTTTTTTTTGTGTCGTAAAAAAACATGGTAAAAAGGTTGTTGGAGGCAGGAATCGAACTCATTAGCTCTTGGTCCATCATAACTTGTCATATCCACCTGGTCTAGATTCAGGTTGTGATTACAAAGAAGTTCGATATGTATTTATACTTCTACACACGCGGTCATAAATATTCCTTTTTACCATTTTTCTTCCCTTTTGTACACGGTAATTCATCTATCACAGACCTGATAACTCACAAACACGGTTGTAACTTTCAACCCGAGGAAAAAATATTGCTGTAACACATCCCCATAATTTATTTGTAACAAGAGCATGGTAATTATATGCCATGAAACTCATACCTCACTCACAAACATCGTGATAACTTTTGACCGGAAGAAAAAATATTGTTGTAATACATCCCGATAACTTATTTGTAGAAAGAGCATGGTAATTTATATGACATGAATCTGGAAACTCACGCATAAAAATTGTGGTGACTTTTTGACCACATGAAAAAAAATATGTTGTAAGACACCCCAAATACCATCTCTATAAAGAGCATGGTAAACCCACTCACAAACACTGCGGTAACTTTTGGTCCAAAGAAGAAAAGTTGTTGTAACACACACCAATAACTTCTCTACAAAAGGGTGTCATGATTTATATGCCACAAACCTGATAACTCATGCACAAACACGATGGTAACTCACGCACAACAACATTTCTCCAAAGTAAAAAAAGTTACTGTGGTGTTTGTATCTAAGTTATTAGAACTGTGGTGTGTATACTACCCTGGTATTTACACAAAAGTTACATTATCATGTCTTCGGGACACAAAAAATATCATGTTATTTGCACAAAATTATCATGGTATGTTACAACAACTACCCCCATCCCCACACCCGTCGCCAAAGAACTATGGTGCGCAAGTTATCAGATCTGCGGCGTGTGTGTTACTGTGCTATTAGCATAAAAGTTATTGTGGGTATATTTCATCACCCCCTTCTCCAAAGTAATCAGGACCAGGGCACATAAGTTATCAGGTTTGCAATGTGTGAGTTACCATGCTATTCACATAAAATTTATCAGGGGATATTTCATCAACCCTCCCCCTCCCCCCTGCCAAAGTTATGAGGAACAGAGTACATAAATTATCATGTATGTGATGTGTATCATGTTCTTCATATAAAAGTTACTGGGGGGTATTCCATCACCCCCCCCCCTCCCCTCGGCGTCAAAGTTTTCAGGTCGGGGTACATAAGCTATCAGGTCTATGATGTGTGAGTTACCATGCTATCCAGTATTCACACAAAAGTTACCTGTGGTACATAGGTTGTATACTTTTCATCATACGTGAGTTATCAGGTCCGATATAAGTGTACAACCATGTTATTTACTCTGAAGTTACCGGGGTATATTTTTTAACAACTTTTATCTTGGGGGTGAAAAAGTACCCGTGGTATTTGTACATGAGTTATCATCGCTGATGTGTATATATACCATGCTATTTTTAATGAAGTTATAGGGGGTATATTTTTCAACAACTTTTATATCAGAGTCGAACTTTACCGTGGTGTTTGTACGTGAGTTATCAACTTTTATCCCTGGACATTTAAAAAAAATCAAGGTTCAAAGTTATCGTTCTATTTGTACCTAAGTTATCAGGACAAAAAGCCTATATTATCATGCTATTTACATAAAAATAATCGGTGGTATATTTTCCCCTCGAATCAGAGTTACCACAGTGTTTGGTATTCGAATGTCGGTTATTAGGCCACAATGCATGGGCTAGTTAGTCTTTTAATAGAGCAAATGTTCATCAATGTCTTGGTATTAAAACAAGTTTTGACTTCAACTCACAACAAGAAGTAATTGTAGCTGGATTGGTTAGCTCGGTAAACTCACTAGTAGATGGTTAGAGTTCGATTCTTCGCACAAGTAATTTTTGACGCTATTTTCTACTTAAAAGTCAAGCTGAAGTGGCACTAGAAAAACTTCCTAAAATTGCTCATATGATCACGATCCGGAAATCACGCCATCTATTTCGTTTCCCACTAATAAAACACTCTAAAATCAAGCCCATAAAAACTTTCTAAAAATAGCTCCCGCCATAAGATCCGACAATTACGTAGAAAAAATCGCGCTAGGGATCAAGAAAAATGCGCCCGCGCGATCATTCTGATTCAAAAAAAAACCGCCCTGAAATCACGGACGCAAGATCTGAAACGAACGACATCGGATGTGTGCGGATCTGTTGCAAACTGCCAGTCGGCAGGAATTTAGCATTCTCGTTTTCTAATATAATTTTGGACAGACAGATATAATATGCACAGTAAAAAGAAATGGAGGGAGTACATTGGAAGTTACATTGAGTTCGTCATAAGCTAGATCACAATATCCTCCATCGCTTCCAAACTACGGCCACGGTCTCAATGCATCATTTGAACCATGCAAATCAAAAGTCGGTTGAAAACCATTGTCTGGCACCACCACCAGTAAGCTGGCGGTAAGGTAAGGTTTAACTCGAAAAGGTACAGTACTTGCTTGGCTGCGAAGTGACCCATCACTTGCATGCCTTCGTCTCTTTAGCCGAAGCATGGTAATTAATTTACATCTGTGTACATCCTAAGCAAAACCTAAAGAAACAACTTTGGCTTCTCCCAGGAGCATGACCATGGGCTCATGGCCACACTCGATCGCATCGGCCAAGGAATATGGGGCTTCTGGTCCTCACGAGACAACGTGTGACCCATTCTTCTTTGTTCTCAGGAAACTAACCAATGTGATCATGGGGGCAACACCCGTCCCCGAACGCTTCTTGATTGTTGTTGTCTTCCATGGCTTTCCATCTTGCACAGTACCTGTGGTCGTAGACGTTACATTGTAAAACTGCGCGCAAATACATCATGATTCAAACTGGGAACCTTGCAATCGATGGATTGGGTTCTTTTTCCTCAGGAAAACTGATGATCTTACACAGCTCAGAATAAAACATTTACCTCGCAAACACCATGTAATAGCAACCTCTGAAATGGGTCCTGGACATTCAACACAAGCACATCTTTATCAGTAGTGTCTTCAATGAAGGCCCTGATCCGTTCCTGCAAAAGTGAAGCACGGTTTTTGCTAACTTAAACAACAGCAAAATAATACAGATATAGACAAGTATATACTTTCTTTTCAAGAATAACATAGTCAAGTATATGCTTTCTGCAGAGCATCTAAGCTGGCTGTACTATTGAATCTAACAAGTATTAAACAGATACAGATAGAACTTACAAGCAGTGAGTAGGACTCCATATGGAAGATCCATAACACAGTCAACACTTGCAAATATTTTCCTACTCAATCCGAAGTAGAACCAAATTGATCAAAACAGCATGTTCTTTGTTTTATCAGAATAATGGTGCTAAACTGCTAACTCATACATAAGCCCATCAGCAGTACATAATTTGAACTTACTAATATAAGCAGTGCATGAATTGTTGGTTTTAACAACTGAACTCAGTTCAACAAACATTTATCAGATTCCATTTCTTTCCATTTGCATGATTCATTTAATCTATATGTGCTCAGTGTTCCGAAACTACAAACCAAACAGATGAGAGTAGATGAATTATCTTCATGTGCCATTTTATTTTTACACAACCAAAATATTACTAGTACCATTTTATTTTTACTCCCAAGTCTTGACACCACACATGTTCTAAGCATTATAACAACAACCAAAAATATAACATTCAGCACAATTGACTCATCTTCATTCACAAGATTCTTCTGCTTTGATGATTGTTTCATTCGTTGCATAAATCTTGCCTGCAAATATAAAACTTGCCAAGTGTCATGGATCTATTAACAATGCATACATACTGGCAATATGATAGGCACATGTTATATGTCTCTCTAGTCTGTGCATTTGGGTTTAATATATTGCAGACTAGTGATGGACAACATACATCGACATGACAGATGCTAACATACCTCAACGTCCATGTCAATGCTCCTGAATGCATCCCACTCACCAACACTTGTCCTGCAAAATGCTGACAGTGGTGCTTCCTCACCTACATGCAGAAAATTGGTCAAATGCAACAAATGAGATGTTTGAAACATAACAAATGCATAAAAAAATATGTATTGATGCCAATGCCAAATGGCAGCACAACTAAAATGAGAAACTCCGCATAAGCGCTTAGAGGAAAACATGCCATGGAAAGAATCAGTACAGATCATTCACATGATGAATCATGAATTCATGAATACAAAGAAATTAGTTAACGCCATAACACTGCCGATAAAAAGTTAAAATGAGCATGTTCTAAAGAGAAAAGATGTATCCAAACAAAATCTAAACCGCCTATTGCAATCCATGTAGGTTTAAATGGAAAACTGGAGTACTCAGTGCAGATTTACTTAGAACATCACATTCTATGATCAGGTTGCAAAATGTTGTAACAAATTTGAGCAGCATTGGAGCTCACCAAATGGCGGAGGGGCAAAGAGGCCTTTGATTTCTTCAACATGAAGACGAGGGACGAGCTCAATCAGCAAGCGATCATTCAACCATCTGCGCTATGTTTTTAAGGCGACGCCTTACCGCCTTAGGGAGGGGGGGCGCTTTGGCGCCTAGGCGACGCCTAGGCGGGCGCTTTGGACGCCTAGGCGCCCAAAGCGGTCGATTTTCCAAAGCGGAGGGGGAGCGCTTCGACGCCTAGGCGTCGCCTAGGCGTCGCCTTAGGGACGCTTTAAAAACATAGCATCTGCGAGACCTCCGGTTACTAACCTGTATAACATTGTAAACAATCATAACATGCTTAATCATATGGCCTTTATATCGAAACACATATAAAGCATAAAAGTATCAGGTCAATTTTTTGTTCCCAGTTAAGGGTTTCACCCCCGACGAGACTAATACGGCAAGTCTCTGTTAATTTCAATTGGTTCTCACAAGAATCAAACAAGAAACGCCATTATTTAACCATTTACACTCGTATTTCCAACCTTGAAAAAAACATAACTCGAGCGCTACCTCCCACATGACAAGAATCAAATAAGGTACAGTAACATCATCGACGGTCAGGCTCCTCACCTTGGTTGCCATGTCCTCCAGGGCTTCAATCTTCCTCTCGATCATCTGCCCACGCGTCTTGGCGGCAGCGGCATCGCCTGCGTTAACAGGAATAAAATTCCAGGAAAAGTGCACCACATTAGGGTAACTTTGGACACAACTAACACCGAGATCCACCAATTTCGAGCGAAAAATAACCTACCTTTGGCGGAATCGAACAGCGACTCGTAGAACTCCTCCTCCCTCCGCAGCAGATCCGCGCTCGCCATGGTTGAGTCCTTCACGCAAGCTTCTCGCGCTCCCTTCTGGACCTCGTAGCTTCTGCCGCGGCGATGGAGAAATCGAGGCTTGGGTTGGCTGGTTTCCGCTTTTGTCCCGGTTGCGGCTGGCCCTCCTGCGCTCTGTTTCTAGGGTTAGAATTGGGGGAATCGTGTGCTCGTGATTCGTCTTCCGGGGAAGGGAGACGGGGTTGGGCGAGAAACGTGACGCGCGCGCGGGTTACTGGATGAAGGTGGGACCATACATATGTGTGGGGTCCGCATGTAAGTTAGCGTGGCTGGCTCGGGAACTTGTTGAAGATGAGACGGGCACGAAAGAGATCTCGAGTGGATATGCGGACGAATGGAACCGGATCTCCAGAGGTGTTTCTCCGCACAAAGGTTGACAGAGCTTGCTTGTTTTCTTTTTAATAAAAAAATACACTAAAGGTTTTTAAAGTATTTCAAATGTGTCAAGTAGCTTCTAAAAGTTTAAAATCATTCACTGCAGGTCTTAAATGTGTGTAAGTTGTTCACCACGGGTCCTAAAAGTATTCCAAATGTTTATAGTAGGTCCTAAAAGACACGGGTAAAATACACATGTACTCCCTTCGTTCTGAATTACTTGTCGCTCAAGTGGATAAATCTAACACTATTTTGATGCTAGATACATCCATTTGAGCGACAAGTAATTCGGAACGGAGGGAGTAGGACCTATGGTGAACGATTTCAAAATTTTGGACCTACTTAACAGACTTGAAATACTTTGTGTTTCATTCTTTCTCTTTCATCGGCGACATGCATAGGACGCGTTTGGTTGCCCCATTATTGCATCAACCCCAATCAAACCCGTAGAAAAATAGTTTGGTTGTCTCGGCTATATCAGATTCTTGACTCACATAGAATATAAAACACCTCTGGGCTTGCATGCGGGGGACTGAACGTTTTTTTTTGCGAGGCAGACTCGCCCGAGACACGCGTGCCCAACACTTGCACACATTGGGAAGCACGGGAGACGATGAGATGTCTCATAACTCCCCGCGCTCTCTTTAGTCACCTCCCATGTCTGTTCACACTACACTCGCTCTATCTCCCTCACCATCCCTTTAGTGTCTCCGATGACACAACCATGGGCTCGCCATCCACCAACCCCCATCGTCGTCGGCAACAACCTTATCTAGGACAGGCGGGTTGTGGCCTCACCTCTTTCGGTCGGGACCTCGTGGCCGTTCTCCAGGCGCCGTCCCCTTCTGCACCATGTCGCATGCACTGGCCAATACCCCACCCCCACCGCGTGCTCTGGCTCCGCCCCCGGTGCCGAACCTAGTCATCTTGGGCTTGACGACGACAGGGGTACAAACCCCGCCGGCTGCGATGACGGCAGCCCAGGCAGGTGGTTTTTTTGCCCCCATTCGAGGGGTTGCTCGCTACGTCTGGTGCACTGCGTGGGGACACTACTACGGAAATTCCCTTACACAGGAGCTTAGTAGTAGCGCTTTTTACGATAAACCGCTGCTACTACTTATCAGTAGCGCTTCCTCATGGTAGGCGCTGCTACTATACACTTACCAGTAGCGTTGTGTTCATAAAACACGCTACTACTACAATTGCCAGACTGTTGCCGACAGGCCAGGCATAGTAGTAGCGCTTGTATGTAGAAAGTGCCACTACTATTGTACGTAGCAGTAGCGC